AGAGAGAGAGAGAGAGAGAGAGAGAGAGAGAGAGAGAGAGAGAAAGAAAGAGAGAGAGAGATCGCGCGCGCTAACATTGTGTGTATAATGTTATGCTGCCGTTGTCGGAGCAACTTGTATTAGCCAAGCCGGGACTTCGGAAGCCTGAGTATTTCGCGAAATGTCTATTCAGGGCAAAACGCCGGCGAAATGCCAAACATTTACCTGCGCTCTGATATGTAGTGACTCTGTCAACGCCTTCCCGTTAGCAGAGCAAGGAAGGAAACATATAGTTACGATTTCTTACCGGTAATGCTCTAGCATTTACATTTATCAACATGGAAGCAGCCACGGCAACGAGCGACCGGTAGCGGATACGCCCGAGGGTTACCGAATGTTTTGTTACCGGCTCTCTCGTGATTATCGATCATTTACGAACAATCTTCCGATCACTATCGATCTATTGAATATTTAATCATGTTTGTCGACGGCGTGGCGACGTGGCGGCCTCGCAAACTCTAGGAGCGTGATGACGTCATGCGGCGGTGATGAGCAACGAGCGACGTACTGTGCGTACGTACTGCGCGCACGTACTGTGTGTACGTACTGTGTGTATCTTGACTTTCCGGTCGCGCGCCGTGGCGAAATAGTATCCTAGCAACATGCCGACGAGGTACGGTGGCGCCCTCGTGTAGGGTTTCATGTAGATGTAATCCGCGTCCGGATCGGCCAACTCGGATGTCGCCCTGAAAGCGAACGCGGTGCAGATGATGCATGCGCTGCGGCAGCTCTACCCGTGTAACCCTTCACACCCGCTACAGGGCTATACAAACTGGGCGAAAACGAAATAGAAATAAAACAGAACGATAAAAAATATTGAGCAGAAACAGATGTAACACTAAAACAAAAGAATAGAAGGAACCCCAAAACGAACACAACGACGAAAATAATAAACAAAGAAAGTGGAATAGAATGGAAAAGGAATAAGCCCCAAAAAATCCAAAATGGTTGACAGAGACATTAAACAGTGACAGAAATAGAAAAAAAAAAACAAAAAAAAACAAATACAGATATAGTGCGAAATTAGAGCAACAATAAATGGTGACAAAAATAGAAAAAACAAACAAAAAAGAATAAGGCGGTGAAGTGGAGCTGCTTCTTCAGGTTGTAGTAGAAGACAATCATCAGGTTTGGATGCATGAGGAAGACGCAGAAGACTAGCCGGCTGAGCGGCGCGAAGCCAGGCCATGACAGCACGACGTTAGCAGGTCCTGCACACGAGCAATGTTTACATTCATTTATTATTCATTCATTTATTTATTGTTATTTATTTACTCGGTCATTTATTCTTCACTCTTTATTCAATCAGTCATTCGTTCGTTTATTCATTCATTCATTCATTTAGTCACTCGCTCATTCATTCATTCAGTCATTCATTCAGTCATTCGCTCATTCATTTATCTAGTCAAACGTTCATTCATTCAGTCATTTATTCATTCATTCACTTACTCACTCAGTCATTCGCTCACCCAGTCACTCGCTCATTCATTCATTCATTTATTCAGTCATTCATTCATTCATTCATTCAGTCAGTCACTTATTCTTTCTCCCATTAAACATTCTCACATCATTTCTAATTGGGTCTCAGATTTATTTACAACGCGCATAACACAAATAGACTTTAATATAAAAAGAAGCCTTTGGTAGTACCCGTTACTTTTACGATTTTACGATTAAAAATACATATAAACACATCAAAGTAATAATCGCATGAAACGCGCTCAATCATTACTGCACACCTGCGTTTCCTGTGTGGCAAGCCCAGACGACCCAGGCCATGGCAAGCGACCAGGCGAACCGCGAGGCGGCGTTGTAGAACGAACGCATCGCCAGCGGTGCAACATAAGTCGACAGCTCGGCATAGGACTTCCCCTGAGTCACGAGACAGGAGGAAGCAAAGGCCACCGCTACGAACCAACCTAGCAGCGCGAGGCCCTGTTGTGTGTGAGAAAGAGGAAGAGAGAGTTAGAGAGGGAGAGAGAGAAAGAGAGAGAAAGAGAGAGTTAGAGCGGGAGAGAGAGAGCGCGAGAGAAAGAGAGAGAGAGAGAGAGAGAGAGCGCGCGAGAGAGAAAGGGAGAGAGAGAGAAAGAAAGAAAGAAAGAGATAGAAAGAGAGAGAAAGAAAGAAAGAAAAAGATAGAAAGAAAGAGAAAGAAAGAAAGAGAGAGAGAGCGCGCGCGCGAGAGAGAGAGGTAGAGATGAAAGAGAGAAAGAGAGCGAGAGAAAGAAAGAAAGAGAGAGAGAGAGAAAGAGAGAGAGAGGTAGAGATGAAAGAGAGAAAGAGAGCGAGAGAAAGAAAGAAAGAGAGAGAGAGAGAAAGAGAGAGAGAGGTAGAGATGAAAGAGAGAAAGAGAGCGAGAGAAAGAAAGAAAGAGAGAGAGAGAGAAAGAGAGAGAGAGGTAGAGATGAAAGAGAGAAAGAGAGCGAGAGAAAGAAAGAAANCGTTGAAAAAGCAATACATTATATTAAACCCAGCATATGATATTAAACTCCGAAGAAACGGCAAAACGCAAACAAATTCAAAGGCGACATAACAATCAGAGAACCGAGCGAGATGTGAATGAATTAAAATGAAAATCGTAATGAGAAAAACGACTGAAACGTGAAAATGAATTGAACTGAAAATAGGAATGCGTCCAAACGAACGAATTACGAAAATTAATTCAGAACCTGGACGAAAATATCTGCGAAATTCGACTGAAGAAAAATGAAATGAATGCGCTAGGCATGCGTGGAATCCATCCCTTCAACTTGTACGTTTCTGACAGATATGCAGATATGCATAGACATACAGCTATGGCCAGGAGTAAATAATGATAGATCTATCTATCTATCTATCTATCTATCTATCTATCTATCTATCTATCTATCTATCTATCTATCTATCTATCTATCTATCTATCTATCAATATAATATCTATCTATCTATCTATCTAGCTAGCTATCTCTCTATCTATCTATCTATCTATCTATCTATCAATATAATATCTAT